TGGATAATTGTGTTATAGAAATTACGAACCAAATAACAAACTTATTTATACCCTACAAAGGTTAAGGGGTATACAAATCTCTGGAGCTTTATAAACTACCTAGATCCATAGGTAAAGTTTAAATAGATTCAGTTTATGAAACATTTTAATTGATCAAATTTAATCAAATCCCCACCAAATAATTAACACAAAAAACTTAAACATGAAATTTATACATTACTTTTACACTTGACTAAACAGTGTTTTCCTTTTTATATTAAATACTTTAACAGTTAATCATAAATCCGCCAACACGAAATGACCAGCGGAAATGTTTATAAAAATGTCTTAAAGGTCTTATTCTAACATACCGGAAATGTCGACAAAACTAATCAGCAACCTTTAGCAAAAAATAAAATTGACACGAAACAGCAACTATGTAAAGCAAATGTTTTAAACCGAAAAAGAAAAACTGCATAACAAATGCGACACAACGAAAAATTTATGCAAATTCCAACATGTGAAAGGAAAGAGACCACCAAAAAAAATCTAAAAAAAAAAAAGTAAAAACTTAAAAAAAGGCCAGTCATGAAATCAACGACATTAGAATGAAAGAAAAAGTACAAGTGTGTTGGAAGGAAAAAATGTGTCAAATGGCAATTAAAGGACGACACGCTAACACACTAACTAAAGTACTTCAACTAACTAAATAAATGCTAGAACAACTACAACAACACACTTACTTACATACTTGTATTTAAACTTTAGCCATAAATTAAAATATTATTAAATAAATTACCACTACAAATGGGACAATGTGAATGAAATGTAGCCATATTGGCTACAATATTACAATTGTTTGTTTGTTTGTTACTTCGTGTTTAGAGAGTGAAAGAGTGAGTGTTTGCACTACAAATCCTTTTTGGAACAATTCAAATTACTGCTAACGAAACGTAATATGTACATATGCAGGCGAAATTGGCCTTAAAACGCGCTAAGCAAAGACATTTCCGTTTTTTATTTATTTTTTAAGCGCCAAATGCCGCATATGGAGACCTAACGGCAAATGTACAACAAACGGCCATTAGCACATGCACCGTTATTTTTAGGTCATTTTATAAGAGTGAGAATAGCCAAAAAAAAAAAAAAAAAACAACAAAAACACGCATAAATTAAGAGAGTAGGGAGAAAGAAGTAAAGGAAAAAGGACTAGAGAAACAGACAAACAAACAAATAATGGAAAAATGAGAACATACACACATACATATGTATGTATGTATGTAAGTATGACAAGTCATACACGAAAAAAATCGATAACACGCTTTGACAGGACTTAAAAGAAGAGCCAAAAGAAATGAAAATGAACATTTATCCAAAGGGGGGAGGGCAGAGAGAGAGAGAGAGAGGAGGTATATATATGTATAAGTCTGTATACAGCACATTTATAACTTTTATGTTTGTATGTGTATGTAAAAATATGAAAATTTTCTCATAGTTTTTTTTTTTTTTCTTTTAAAAAATGTTTAATTTAATTATTTTTTTAAGTTATTCTTTTAAAAACTCACCTCTAAATTAACAATTTTGGAACCCATACATAATAATTATTTGTATAAAATTTTAATATATAGTATAGTATATATATTTTTTATAAGTTTTACAAAATAATTTATTCTTTTACTCCAAAAAAAAAGAACTTTGTATAAATTTATGGTTTTATTATTTAGAACTTTTCTTTTTTTCTTTATTTTAGCGTTAATTTTCCTTTATTTTCGTTTTAAATTTATGTTTTAATAACTTTTTCACTTTAATTTTTTTATTGCTTTTTTTTCTAAGTGCTTCTTATTAATAATTCTAAAAATAAAGATTATTACTTATGAAATAATATACGTCTACACTTGTGAAAATATCTTAACTGTCTAAGAAAATTTCTACAGAGTTTTTCTTTTACTTTTTTCCAACGTTTATAAGGACTTTCTTGCTCGCTATTCTCTGAGTATAGTTAAATGGAGTAAACAGGAAATCAAACTACGTTCCTATAAGTATGCTTTAATAAATTTCTCTTGCTCTCGCATTTTCCGTTGATAAAATTGTCTATGTAGTTGTAAAATGATAACAGCCGGTTGTTTAATGCCTGCCAGATTGCTTATACAATAAGTAGTGTTCAATTTTCTCCAACACATTCATAATAAACATATTTTTTTCCCCCGATAAACAATTTATTAAACAAAACTTTAACTTCTTAATAAGCAAATATTAAAAAATAAATTTCCATCTCTTTTTCCAATTTCATTTAAAAGCTTTATATTAACCAAAATCTTCACTCTGGCATCTCATTTCATTACTGACAGCTGTTTCGTCGTGGCATGTCATTATTTCCCCGTGAATACTTACTTAAAGAAGCAGCATTTTCTGACCAATCAACGCAGACCACGCAGTTGTCATAATTTTTTTCCTTACAGATACCGTGGTGTAAAATTTTTTCGCAAGCAAAACATTAATAAATTATGTATTTTTAAAAGAAAAACCGTATAAATTAATATTAAATAAAAAGTCAACTATTCCTAATATAAAATAGTAAACAAATAAACAGAAACAATGAAAATCTTAGCCGTAGTTTTACTAATACAAATTGCTGTATGTCTACTGGACACGGCTTTAGCCGGAAGGGATTTTTATAAAATTCTAAATGTACGCAAATCTGCCACAACAAATGAAATAAAAAAAGCCTACAGAAAACTAGCCAAAGAATTACATCCCGATAAAAATAAAGATGATCCTGATGCCTCCACAAAATTCCAAGATTTAGGTGCCGCCTACGAGGTATTGTCCGATGCGGACAAACGTAAGACCTATGACAGATGTGGTGAGGAGTGTTTGAAAAAGGATGGCATGATGGATCATGGTGGTGATCCATTTGCCAGTTTCTTTGGTGATTTTGGTTTCCATTTCGGCAACGGTGATCCTCATCATCATGATACGCCCAAAGGAGCCAATATTGTTATGAATATGTATGTCACCTTGGAGGAGTTATATTCCGGCAATTTTGTGGAGATTGTGAGAAATAAGCCTGTTCTAAAACCTGCAGCCGGTACCAGAAAGTGTAATTGTCGCCAAGAAATGGTAACACGTAATTTGGGACCAGGACGTTTCCAAATGATACAACAAACCGTGTGTGATGAATGTCCCAATGTTAAGTTGGTGAATGAGGAACGTACTTTGGAAATTGAAGTAGAAGCCGGTATGATTGATGGTCAAGAAACTAGATTTGTGGCTGAAGGTGAGCCTCATATGGATGGTGAACCTGGTGATTTGATTATTAAAGTCCTACAAATGCCCCATGAGCGTTTCCAACGTAAGGGGGATGATTTGTATACGAACGTTACAATTAGTTTACAGGTAAGTGAATATTAAGTAAAATTTAACAAAATCATTTGAAAGTGAAATAGGGGATTTAATAAGTGGGCGTATTTTGTAAAATCAATACTTTTTATTTTTGTTAAAACAGTCTATAACAGTTATATTTCTGTACTAGTTCTGCTCTAGTTAAAATCAAGAAAAATTCTATTTAGGTTAGAGTTCAGTTCTTGTTAAGTTCTAGTTCAGTTCTAGATCTGTTCTAGTTCAGCTAAAGTTCGGTTCTAGTTTCGTTCTAAATCAGTTCTAGTACAGTTCTAGTACAGTTCTAATTTAGTTCTGTTCTAGATCAGTTCTAGTTCAGTTCTAGTACAGTTCAAGTTCAGTTCTAGTGCAGTTCTAGTTCTGTTCAAGTTCTATTTTTTCTATTTTTTTCTAGTTTCGTTCTAGTTCAGTCTTAGTTCAGTTTTAGTTGAGTTCTAGTTCAGTTTCAGTTTAGTTCTCGTTCAGTTTTAATTCGGGTTTGGTTAATTTCTGGTTGAGTTTTTTTAAAGGATTATATATTAATTCTCTTTTATATTATTTTACATTACAGGATGCTTTGGTTGGCTTTAACATGGATATTGTGCATTTAGATGGACACAAAGTTTCAGTGTCAAGGGAAAAAATAACCTGGCCTGGAGCTCGTATACGCAAGAAGGGCGAAGGTATGCCCAACTATGAAAATAACAATTTACATGGCAATTTGTATATAACATTCGATGTAGAATTCCCTAAAAAAGACTTGGATGATACAGAGAAAGAAGGTAAGATCTAAAACAACTCCAAACGGTAGACATTTGTAAAAATTTTGAATTAAAATTTAAGCTTAATTTCAAATATCTATTGCAATATTTAATATTCCACTCAAAATTAATTTTGATTAAACATTTTTATAAGTTAATAATTAAATATTTTTCCTTTTTTACAGATTTAAAGAAAATCTTAGATCAAGCTTCAATTAATCGTGCTTACAATGGCCTGTGAGATGCTGTAAAGACTTAACTAACATTTACAACAAGAAAAAACATTAGTTATTTAATTTAGTTTGATTTATTTTTAATAAAAAACTTTTTGTGAATATTAGTTTTCTCAAATTTGATATATTTTTTGTAAATGTAGTTTACTAAACAAAAGAAAATCAATCCTAAAATTGTTAAGATATCACGAATTTTCTTAATAAAACTTTATAAGTTTTTTTTAACTAATTTATTTAAAAAGTAAACCAAAATAATTTGTAATAAAGAAAATACAACATGATTTAAAAGAAGAAAATGGCCTAAAAGTATTAATGTAATAATTTAATACAAAAATATTTGAGTCTTAAACTGGAATGAAAATAAGTGGTCAAAAAAGTATTTAAAATCATATAAAAAGTGTACACTATACGTTTTAACTAAATTGGGTAATAAATTTTAACTTTACAACGTTAGTTTACACTATTACAAATAATGTTTACATTTAACATAGGTTAAATTATTTACATTTCATATTTTACCTCTTGTAATATTTAAATGCAACCCTGCATTTGTTTACAAACTCTCACTAAAAAGGTTTTCACAACAAACAGCTTTTGTCTACTAAACCAATCAGCTGTTTGATTAAAATTCTTAATGTTGTTGTTCTTTTAATAAAAAATAAAAAAATCCAATCATTTAACATTGTTCTTTCGGTGGCGAGTGTTGTTTGAATAAACTTTTAATTAATTGTTAATTTAAACAAAACTGGTTCATAATTATCTATTTAAGTAAAATAAGCAAATAAAGTGCAATATTAGATATAAAGCAATAAAACAAAAGAGCTTTCTTTTTACTGCCCATGTATAAGTTTGTACTAGTTGTGTGTCTCAATAATAATAAAACACTAAAGTGCCTATTTAAAAGTTAATTATTTTTAATAAAAAATATAAAGCAATTTCTAAAATTTAAACCTACTTAAAAGGTGTGCAAAAATTTAAATTTTATGTATGCGTTAACTAGATAATTTAACTATTAAATGCTTTTGCTGTGCCACGATTTTTGTCAAGGTTTTCCAGTAGTCATTGGGTCATTTTTTCGCTTTAGCTAATTCAATGACTGATTTTACCAAATACACTGTAAGTAAAATGAACTTGACTTTTACTGTTTTTTTGTTGCCTATAAATTGTTGCAAATATAAAGAGTGCGGGCTTTTATTTATTTGTGTAATTGTATATCTTTTTTAAAGAGCAGTCATTGACTTACATTTTGCATATTTGTATACCTATTGGTCCTACAGCTTTTTTTAATATCAATATTTTCACATTCTTTATCTAATTGAAAATTTTAACAAATATAAAATAAGTTAGGGTATTCAGCTAGATAACATTTAAAATAGTTAGAGATTTTCAGAAGATAAAAAACATGTAAGAACTGATCTATAACAAAAATATAACTGAACGAACTAACTAGAACTAGAACTATGAACTAGAACTGAAACTAGAACTGAACTAGAACTGAACTAGAACTGAACTAGAACTGAACTAGAACTGAACTAGAACTGAACTAGAACTGAACTAGAACTGAACTAGAACTGAACTAGAACTGAACTAGAACTGAACTAGAACTGAACTAGAACTGAACTAGAACTGAACTAGAACTGAACTAGAACTGAACTAGAACTGAACTAGAACTGAACTAGAACTGAACTAGAACTGAACTAGAACTGAACTAGAACTGAACTAGAACTGAACTAGAACTGAACTAGAACTGAACTAGAACTGAACTAGAACTGAACTAAACTGAACTAGAACTGAACTACTGAACTAGAACTGAACTAGAACTGAACTAGAACTGAACTAGAACTGAACTAGAACTGAACTAGAACTGAACTAGAACTGAACTAGAACTGAACTAGAACTGAACTAGAACTGAACTAGAACTGAATGAACTGAACTAGAACTGAACTAGAACTGAACTAGAACTGAACTAGAACTGAACTAGAACTGAACTAGAACTGAACTAGAACTGAACTAGAACTGAACTAGAACTGAACTATAACTGAACTAGAAACTGAACTAGAACTGAACTAGAACTGAACTAGAACTGAACTAGAACTGAACTAGAACTGAACTAGAACTGAACTAGAACTGAACTAGAACTGAACTAGAACTGAACTAGAACTGAACTAGAACTGAACTAGAACTGAACTAGAACTGAACTAGAACTGAACTAGAACTGAACTAGAACTGAACTAGAACTGAACTAGAACTGAACTAGAACTGAACTAGAACTGAACTAGAACTGAACTAGAACTGAACTAGAAAAGAACTGAACTAGAACTGAACTAGAACTGAACTAGAACTGAACTAGAACTGAACTAGAACTGAACTAGAACTGAACTAGAACTAGAACTGAACTAGAACTGAACTAGAACTGAACTAGAACTGAACTAGAACTAAACTAGAACTAAACTAGAACTGAACTAGAACTGAACTAGAACTGAACTAGAACTGAACTAGAACTGAACTAGAACTGAACTAGAACTGAACTAGAACTGAACTAGAACTAGAACTGAACTAGAACTGAACTAGAACTGAACTAGAACTAGAACTGAACTAGAACTGAACTAGAACTGAACTAGAACTGAACTAGAACTGAACTAGAACTGAACTAGAACTGAACTAGAACTGAACTAGAACTGAACTAGAACTTGAACTAGAACTGAACTAGAATTGAATTGGAACTGAACTAGATCAGAACGGAAACAGAACTAAAAATAAATTAACAAATTCTCTATTAAATAAAAAATTATTACATTTGAAATATTTCCAAAATTTCTTAGTTTTTTGAAAAATTTTTAATAATTCTTCTATTTAGAAAAAACAAAATATTTTTAATTTTTTAAATTTCTTTATGTTAAAAATAAATTAATAGAATGTTTTTGAAAAATACTAGATTTTAAAAATTGTTTATTTTTTATAATTCGATAAATGTTTAATAGCCTCTAGCCATGACTGCTTAGTATAAATGCTCTTAAATCTCAACCTACAAAGTTCAAAATGCAAGTTGTAATCTTAATATGCCTTTAAATGATTCATTTCACTAATGACATCATTTTCATCCTCTACTCGGTTATTATTGATAATTAGTTTTTTTTTTTTTAAATTAT